GGGGGCTGGACTGGGGACCAGTTTTCTTAGGGCTTGGGCAGAGCAAGGGGGGAGAAAATTGACACAAACAGGGAAGCCGATAGGCAGCCAAGACATGAGGCCTGCAGGGGTGGCACAGGATACTCTGTCTGTGCGCCCCTCCCAGCCCCTGCCCCACCCCTATCCCTAGAACCCGCAGCCTGGATCCCAGCCATCCTGGGGCCCCACCTGGCATCTACCCCTCCAACTCTTAGGCGGCTGGGGCAGGGCGATGATGGCGGCATGGTGGATGGATAGCAGTTTCACCCCAAGGGGAACAGTGCTCCTCAAAAAGTCCCTAGGGATCACTTGGGGTCACACAGCCACTGGGGGACCCAGGTCAAGAGACCCTGAGTAGCAGGCAGCACCTACAATTCACCGGGGCCCTAACATTCACTGGAGACACTGTCGTTCCAGTCAATGATTTTAGCCCCAGGCTTAAAGCAGGTGCTTAGCGACATACGAATCATTTATGAAGAACGTTAGGACAGCTCCTCCTCCAACCAGCTGACCAGGGTCGCACCTGAGGAGAGAAAGACCAGGATTCCCAGACCCTCAGAGAAGCTGTGGTACACTGAGGCAGCACAGGACTCAGCAAAGACATCTCAGTGTTTAGTGTTCTGTGGGCCCGTTTATTTCCTTCCAAGACCGTTTGCGTTCCAGCCACATCTTCCCGGAATGAACCCAACCACACAAGGTCAGTACAAGATCGCAGTCTGTTTTTAAAGTGCCACCTAGGAATACAATCACGGTCGGGTAAATTCATCACCATGCTTGGTCATCAAGCCAAACCTCTCCGCATACCTGGAAACCCTTTTGTTTTCTTCTTTTTTTGAAAACAAAACAAAACAAAACCTGTAGCTTTGATACAACACTGAGGAGGTGGGGAACTAGAAGCCTAAATTATAAATGGCACATTACTGGTCATTCGGAAGCTGGGGGAATGGGGCTGTGCTGTGCTCAGTCATGTCCAACCCTTTGCGACCCTATGGACTGTAGCCTGTCAAGCTCCTCTGTCCATGGGATTTCCCAGGCAAGAACACTGGAGTGGGTTGCCATTTCCTCCTCCAGGGTGAATAGGGCAGTTTGTTGCATTTTGACTGCTTCCTCATCTGGAAGGAAGGAATGCCAAAAAAAAAAAAAAAAGGAAAAGAAGGAAGCAGAGAGGTGTAACCTGAGTTTGCTTCACAGGACTAGCAGTGCTGATGTTCCCAGGGCCGCTTGCTTTGGTCATCACGCCTTCGCAGGTTTGGGGTGGTGGTGGCAGGACCTGGCAGCAAGGTCTAGGCTGGTGCTGAGACCTGTTTTTCATCTGATGGAGTTAAATGTTCTGACTTCTAACAGCCACCAACTTACATTTCAAGACTGAGGGCCATGAGAACATTACTCAGAAAACATTTGAATTGAGTGGCAGCAGTGTAAATTAACCTTTCCCTTTCTGTCCAAGAAGAAAATGTACAGCATTCTTCTATAGATGTGACCAGTGAGACCAATCAAACATCTGGACAGGCACCCAGCTTGTGATTGGCTGGCAGCAGCAGGCCAGGTAATCATCTCTAGAAATCCAGGGATGCTGTGGACTTATAACTTGAGATCTGATTGAAATAAAGTGCTCGGTCTAAACCTTCTTCCTTACAGCAGGTTTTCAGCCAGAATGATGAGATGGGTACTTCTGTTGATGCTACCTGAAAACAGACACACACCTAAAGGTCCATTTCATTCCTCAGGAAATAACACAGGCTTGTCCTTAAACAAATCCAATAGAAGTATTGAAACTTATTAAAACCGACATGAGCAGCTGGTTCCAGACATACAGATACACAATAATATTAGTGTTCACGAGAAATTGCTTTCAAAGCACCACTCTGCAAGAAATTTCATCATAACAATATCAAAAGCCCCCAAACCACTCTCACGTGTGGAAAAGGTAAAAGGAATGGAGTGATTTACAATAAGTAGGTTTTGCATTTGGTGTATAATCTTAATTGATGTTTGGTGTCAATGACATTTAACATAAATATCCTACACTATTAAAAAATACACCTGGATAAACAGCTTGGAAATGAAACATTCACAGTATCAATACAGCCCATGTTCTCACGGCACTACCCTGACGCTACCTTTCATTTTTCTTGTCTTATTCCTATGTCCGTGTCCTCTGTCACTTCAGAAAAACCCATTTGCTGGAGACTAATGTATGTGCATCTGGAGGGTGGGCTCCTGGAGTGACTTAAATGTACAGGGTTCTTGATGTGCATCTAATAGACACCAGCAGACACACATCTCATCAGCACACACTCCCTCTTGTGTTAATCCATGTGTTTCTCCCTCACAGGTTGGACGGAAAGCCCCTGACACTTCCCCAGGACCCTGCAAAGGTTTCAGGTCTTGAGAAAGCTGAGAGTCAGAGCCCTGGATGAAGGTATGGAGCAGTGAACAGGTTGGACGGAAAGCCCCTGACACTTCCCCAGGACCCTGCAAAGGTTTCAGGTCTTGAGAAAGCTGAGAGTCAGAGCCCTGGATGAAGGTAAGGAGCAGTGAGCAGGATGCTCGTGGGGAAGCTGAGAGTCAGAGCCCTGGATGAAGGTAAGGAGCAGTGAGCAGGATGCTCGTGGGGAAGCTGAGAGTCAGAGCCCTGGATGAAGGTATGGAGCAGTGAGCAGGATGCTCGTGGGGAAGCTGAGAGTCAGAGCCCTGGATGAAGGTAAGGAGCAGTGAGCAGGATGCTCGTGGGGTTGCTCAGGAATGGGAATGGCTATGACTTCTTTCAGAGCAGGAAAGTTGAAACGAAAACTCTTGACACCTTCACATTCAAAGAAGTTGAGTTCAAATCAAATAAAAAATTGCACTGACAACTTCTGATCGGTGCCTGACATTCTGACACACACATACCCTCTTAGAATTAATTCTGAAATGTCACAGGTTCTGCCAACCACATGAAAAAAGACAAGAATCCCTCAAGTAAAACAGAACATTAATGAGACCACTGGTTCCAAAAGACTAGTAGCAATTTCTAGTCTGTGGGGACTAACTTGGTATGAACATACTAGATTTTGGAATGTCAGGTGCTAATTTACAGTGATAAATTAGCTAATTTATCTGTAAATACTAATTGACAGTGATAACAATTGGAGTATAATCTTTAAAAGCAACGTATGCTAAAAAAGTCATTTTACAGTCACTTGATAATTCGTGGGACACCTAAGGATTTTGAAATGTGCATTTAAAAATAAAATTCCTGGTTTTTAAGTGTTTTTGATATGGACCACTTTTAGTCTTTATTGAATCTGTTTCAATATTGCTTCTGTTGTGTATATTCTAGATTTTGGCCACGAGGCATGTGGGATCTTAGCTCTCCGGCCAAGGATTGAACCCCCTACACTGGGAGGTGACGTCTTAACCACTGGACCACCAGGGAAGTCCCTAAAATAAAATTCTTAATGTTATTTTCTAATCTCATCCTCAAAAAGAAAGAAAGTAGGAAAGGAAAGAATTCTATAAACTTGATTTTTATAAAGGTTTCTGCTCATCCCTGGCTCTCTTACCCCTGAAGTATATGTTGAAGAAGTCACAAAAGCACCTCTAGAAAGGGACTCACCCAATTTCATATCTGTGACAGAAGCCAAGTTTTCATAATTGCCTTTGAGTCTTATGGAGAAAAAAGGATCTTATGCAAAACCTGTCATCCTGATGACAGGTGCTCCTTAATAAGCATTTCTCTTAAAAGTGGCTCATCAAGAAGGAGTGAAAAACTGTAACTGGACCTCAGGGGAAGGGCGCACGGATGAGGAATGTGGTTTCCCCCAGGGGAAAGGCGAATTGATGAGGAAGGTGATTTGGAAGATCCATAGGGTACTAACATCGTGTGCCAAGCTCACTGTTTTTTTCCACTGCAAATTAAAACAAGGGCCTCCCAAGAGCGGCTGAGCACCATTCACAGTAGCATTCTGAAGAGCTCATAAAAGAAATCTGATGTATGTTTGGCTCATTTGTTATTAAACTTCCATTCCTAAGACTCACACCTGAGACATAAAATGATTTCTTCCTTTGCCCTGATAGTACTTTGTTTCAGCTGTTGGCAATATTTGGCAAAACCTTGAACTAAAGAAAAACCACGTATGTATGGTGAACACATCCTTGTGTCTGTGGCTTATTGCTCCTGACTTCATCTGACGGGCTGGCTGCTCTCCTGTGAGCCCGGACGGCAGACGGCAGGGAAAACATTCTGTGTGTTGACTGCTCCGTGGTATTATTATAGCTTCTGACGCTATCCAGAAAAACGTAAAACCACATAAGGATTTATATATCTCCTACTTGCAAATAGGCTCAAAGTAAACTTAGAAAAGTGTTCGGCATAATATGCATAGGATATATTTAGTATTTGCATAATTTTTCAAGTTATATGGCTAATATCAAAGGCAAGTGTCTTCCTATATTCGTCATAGTGTCTGCGTTACTGCGGTGATTTCTCTGTTTGCCTGTATCCCACCTCTCAGTCCGCAGGGGCGGCTGCACTTTTTATTCTGAGTGGCCAATCAGGAGGGGTGACCCATCCATTCCATTCACAGTGACAGCAGGTAGGGACTGTCCCTTTGTTATGTGGTCCAGGCACCAACAAAGCTTAGAGCATGGAGGACCAAGCTCGTTTCCCCAGCTGCCCGTCCACAGCCCCTTACAGTGAGTTCCACGGGAGGCATCCTCCCATTTAACTTCAATCCTTAGCTGTGAGCACAGGCAAACGGTGGAGTCTTCGGGTCCCCTGGCTTCTGGTGGCAAATGGGGCTTTGCAGGTTCTCTTCAGGGAAGCCTCCTGGATGGAGACTGTTTCTTTTTCCCACTTTCAAAAACAAAACAGTTGGAAAAAACCCAGCTAGATGGTGGACAGGGCAGCCGTCCGGCAGCTCGCTGGCCCCCTGGCTGTATCCCGGCAGGTGGTGATGGTGGGTCCGCATCTGCAGCATCCCCGGGGAGGAGGCGCCCGCCTACGGGCAAGGGTCCGAGGGGGCACCATTCAGGGTGCTCTGGCCCCGGTGCCTGGAGAGCAGCTTCTTGTTCAGGATCCGGGAGAGTGTCACCCCCTTCCTCCGCGCCCCATCAGGCTGCTGCAGGAACACGAGGTCGTTGTGCGACTGGCTCAGGCCGGGGTCTTTCTGCTGGTGCCGCCGGCGGAAGAAGAGCTTGGCACCCTTCCTTAAAATTCCTCCTGAAAGAGCAAGGCATAGGGTCAGGGGGCTGTGGCGAGAGGCTGGGACGTGTCCGAGAGGGAAGGAGAGAAGACAGCTCCAGTGACTGACACAGGCAGCCTGTGACTGCAAGTGCAGAAAGGCAGCTGGGTCAGGCCTGTGTGCAACACAAGAGCTCCCAAGGTGTAGTGAGCAGAGCAGCTTAGAACATGAATAGGAGCAGCGGGCTGGACTGTCCCTTGGAATCCAGTCCCAGGGAAGGCACTTAGATCCCCGACTTTTACGGGTCCCCCAGCCCTACCCACTCCCTGTCATAAGGAACAGTATAAATAGCAGAGCAGGGCTCTAATGACCCAGAAAGGATGCTCTGATATTAAAACCAAATTAAGGACTCTGACAGAAATGATATTCACCTTCTTAGGAAAGTTGTTGCTTAGTCCCTGAATCGTGTCCGACTCTTTGCAACCCTGTCGACTGTAGCCTGACAGGCTCCTCTGTCCATGGGATTTCCCAGGCAAGGATACTGGAGCGGGTTGCCATTTCCTTCTCCAGGGGATCTTCCTGACGCAGGGATCAAACCCGGGTCTCCTGCATTGGCAGGTGGATTCTTTACCACTGGGCCACCTGGGAAGCCCCTTAGGAAAGTTAAATAACACTTATTCTTTGGGGGAGGAAGAGCTTTTGTAACTCCAGATCCAGCATGTGTCTATCAAGCTAAGTCACATGAAATGTCTGTTACTTGATCACTTTTGATCGACAAAACCTCAATTTTGCTTGTTCCAACCTATGCGGATTCGACGTAAAATGATAGAACATGAAATAGAACAAATATAGCAGCAGCAATGATTTCAATGGCGATAGTTCCTTAAAGGTTAAAGGTCAGCTACCATAGCAACAGGACAGAGTCCACTAATCTGCTTTCACTTCCACAAACTAGTTTAACATCCTGTGAACAAGGCCCAACAGGGTCCCTTCCAATCAGGCTGTGAAACCCATGACCATTTGCATGTAGGAGTTAAGGACTTTGAAAGAAGAATGGCTTGACCTTCCCAATAAGGAGCTTTATAGCTAATCTGGCAATTCATTCTTTTCATGACAGATCCAGCGAGTACTTCAAAAGCTGTGACATATGCAGAAACCATCCGGCTGTATCCAAATGCGAGGCCCAAGGGCAACACTTTGCCCTTCTAGCTGAAATCTACAGATAATTGTGGAATCTGACCCAGCCTTGTCCACAGACCTTTGCAGGATCAGCACTGACTGCGGGGAAGGCAGCAATCCCATGAATTTCAGAGCCCACACCCTAGACCTGAACTTAAGGATGCCCATCCTACTTGCTCTGCCCAGAATGGATGGGTCTCCTCTCCTGACTGGCTGCTCCGGATAAAACGTGCAGCCACCCCTGAGGACTGACAGGTGGGACAGAGAAACAGAGACACCACCACAGGAACAAAAACACTATGATAAATGTAGGAAGACATTTGCCTTTGATATCAGCCATAGAACGTGAAAACTTAGGAGCTTCTGTGTGGAAGCTCAAGAGAAATGCTGAATTTCACTGGGTCAAAGCTGCCCCCAAAGACTTGTTCTGATTTTCTCTTTGGATACAATCACCTTTCAAGAAGGTTGATTAAGATATACAGATATACATCAGTATATATATATATATATATATATATATATACACATCAGTTAGTTCAGTTCAGTCACTCAGTCGTATCTGACTCTTTGCAACCCCATGGATTGTAGCACGCCAGGCCTCCCTGTCCATCACCAACTCCCGGAGTTTACTCAGACTCATGTCCATTGAGTTGGTGATGCCATCCAACCATCTCATCTTCTGTGTATATATATGTTTACAATTATATATATATTTATATATATTTGCAATTATATATATATATTTACAATTATATGTATATATTTACAATAATTGTAAATATATACATATTATACATATACATATAATTATAAATATATATAACTCTAAATATATATATATATATATATATATACATATACACAGAGAATGAGATGGTTGGATGGCATCACCGACTCAATGGACATGAGTTTGAGAAATGGCAATCCACTCCAGTATTCTTGCCTGGAAAATCCCATGGACAGAGGAGCCTGGCAGGCTACAGTCCATGGGTCACAAGAGTCAGACACGACTTAGTGAATAACCACCACCACCACCAAAGTTGGGAGGTGGTGTGCGGGGGCTTGAGGAAGGCTGGAAAGGGGACAAAGCAGAAAGGTGAAAATAAGTCTCTGTGGCTTTACTCCTGTCAACGGGCCTGACTGGCTGCTCCCTGGACCTCAGAGGTCCATTCCCAGATCCATTCTAATCCCTGGAAGATGCAGCATATCTCAAAAAAACCAACAGGCAGGGTGCGTGATGGCCAGAGTCACCACAACCCATGGGGCCTGACCCTGGAGTCTGGCCAGTGGGGTGGATACAGTGGTGCCTGATGGTGAATGACCTAGGGATTCAAATGTCCCGCAGGCTCCCAGCCTGGCCAGGTTCCCTTGGGTTGGGGTGGGCGGGGGGTGGGAGGCACTTAGGAGGTGTTTCTGGTCTACAGGTTCCTGCTCTGGGTTAAGCTTTGTTGTTGTTGCACAGTCAGTCATGTACGACTCTGCGACCCCATGGACGGCAGCACGCCAGGCTTCAGCCCCTCAAATAGCATATAAATGTGGGGTGTCACATTAGAACACAGGAGGAGGAGGGAGGTCCGAGGGACCCATCTGGTTAATCTAGACCCTAATCCCACTTCCCATTCCCATCTCCCTGGGGTGGGGGACGGGGAATGGAAGTGTGGGGAGGGGAACAGACTGGTATGTCTCCAGGCCAGCTGCAGACCTAGGGATGTGGAAGCCAGCAGTAAGAGAACCTCCCCTCGAACACTCCATCCACAAAGCCCATTTCACACATGTCCTTCTGCTGAAATTCCACCCGGGGTTTGGAGGCAGGGTCTGAGGTGTGAGTGGGGGCGGTGTCTTGGTTTGGATCTTGTCCATCCAGAATTCTTATGTTGGGGTCCTAACCCCAGGTCCTCAGAATGTGACCTTACTTAGAGATATGGTCATGACACTGGCAATTCAGTTACAGCAAGGTCATTAAGACAGGTGCTAATCAAGTATGACTGGGGTCCTTATAAAAAGGGGAAGCTTGAACAAAGGCACACTGGGAAATGCCATGTGAAGATGAAGGCAGAGATCAAGGTGATACATCTACAAGCCAAGAGGCAATGTGCTATGTTGTTAGCAAGCCCCCCACCCCAAAGCTGGGGGAGTGGCTGGGACAGACCCTCCCTCCCAGCCTCAGGAGCAACCAGACCTGCCCACACCTTGATCTTGGACTTCCAGCCTCTGGAACTCAGAGAAGAAATCTCTGTTATTTAAAGCACCTCACCTATGGAACTCTGTTTCAGCCACCCCTAGGATCTAACACAGATGAGACAGGGAAGGGGAAGATCTGAATTAAGATGAGGATCCCGAAACACCAGCCACGTCCTCCTGTATCCTTGAACCCTGGACACCGTGTGGAAGACTGCACCTTGTTTTGGCCATGGACACCCGCTGCCCTGCCAGGCACACACGCAGTTTCTGTTCTTCATCCTCAAGTCCACCCTCTGGAGCAGGTGTGCTGTGTTGTTAACTTTGCCTGTTCAGTGTCAATGCAGAACTGGATGCTGTCACGTGTACTCTGGTGCAGATTGACCCCTAACTTGACACGACTTGTTGCGGCTTCTATGGGGACATCGGCTTTTTGGACAGATGGTCACCTGAGGGGAGAGACTGAGGTTTGCACATCTACAAGCTGCAGCCCAGGTTATATTTCCCAGCCACCTCCGAGGGTGCTCTCATCTCTGGCTTACAAATAAAAAAGTAGAGACTCGGAGAGGGACATACTCTGTCCTGCAAAGCTTGACTCCTCTGTGCTGCTGAGGATGCATCTGAGCTGGAGGTGGCCGGCGGGCATCTGGAGGGTCGGTCTGCCAAGTTGCCGCTGGGGAGTCCTCCAGAGGGTGGGACTGAGCAGTTCTCAGAGGGAGCGCAGAGCAGAGCCCTGCTCTGGCAGGGACTTGGATAGGCTTCTGGGTGTGATGAAAGACATGCTAGTGGCCTGGGGAGGACAGAATACTCCAGCGCTGTGAGCCCTTCTCCAGGCTCCACAGTTTAACTCATCACACGTGAAGAAGGACCAGTACAAGCCGAGGTTATTCCATTTTCATCACTAAATAAAAATGTGGTCGTCTGTTTAAACTTGGCCTCTCAAGCACAGTGACCTTCGGGGTAAATAACTGGGGATGGACACAGCCACAGGCGCGCTTGGTGGACGCTGATACAGCCGCACCGCGGCAGGTCGTAGCTCAGACGGGCAAGCGCCCTCTTCTTGGCAGGGAGGCAGTACCGCTCAGAGCCACCGTGACCAGGACGCGGGCTCCCAGTGTTCTGAGTCAGTCTGCCCAGCGTGCCCAGCGACTCCATCCGGCACTGAGCTGAGTGTTGCTGGGAATCCCCTGTCCGTGTGGTCCAGGTCTCCCATCTGTGCCTGAGCCCTAGGAGATACCCCAGGTGACGTGCGTGGCCTTCATCCAATCAACTGAGAACAAAAAGGAAGGATCCCCGGGGCAGGGATTCTGCCTCAAGACTGCGGCATCAGCTCCTGTCTGCCCTGTAGGTTTCAGACTCACCCACACAAACCTGCTCCTTGAAACCTAGAACCAATCGATTCTGTTTCCCTGGAGAACCCTGATGATACAAGAACTTTATAGTTTGGAAGGTCACACTTTCCCCGGGCCCCAGAATCTGTCCCTCTTTGCTGATGAGGGAAGTCACAAGCATGGGGCAAGGGAGTGGAGCTGTTTGGATTTAACAAGCTCACCTCACTCACCTGACAGGCAAGAAGCAAGGCTTAGACCTCACTCCCGATCTTAAAGAAGCCTGAAGGTCAAATGTGAAAATGGGCTATGTGAAACTTAAGGCAAATAACCAAAATCTTAGATGGCACCAGGAAGAGAAAAAAAAAAAAAATTTCCCTGGTTCCAGTAAGGTTAATTAAAAAAAAAAAAAAATATATATATATATATATATATATATATAAGGCTCAAGTATAAACACATTGTTGTTGTTTAGTTGCTCAGTTGTGTCTGACTCTTTTGCGACCCTATGGACTGCAGCCTGCCAGGCTCCTCTGTCCATGGGATTTCCCAGGCAAGAAGACTGAAGTGGGTTGCCATTCCCTTCTCCAAGGGATCTTCCCGACCCAGGGATTGAACCTGAGTCTCCTACACTGGCAGGTGTATTGACAAGTGTATTCTTTACCACTGGCACCCCCACCGAGAAACCCCATAAACTCATACATGAAGGAATTAAAAATAATTATTCTATTTAATGTTGCAGATACTCCCCACTTTATTCCTGGTTGTTTCCACAGTTTAACAGACATAAATTGCTCATGGAAAAACGTGTCCCAGCATCTTACAGATAGGAGAGCAGAGACCAAAAGCAAACTGGTAGACTGCAGTTTGCTACCCAAAGGACAACTTTAGATTTCAAGGGGAACCATGGACAGCCCATTTATAGAAATGACTACCTTTCAGAACCAAGGCCAGATAAGGAAGCCGGTCTGTCTGTATTTCTTGGCGAGGTGGTTTTGTCACATCAGCTAACACAGTTCTGTCTTTCCCTGAGACACTGGTCCTCTATCACCTAACCATGGCACTTTGAAGGAGGAAGGTGGAAAAACTAGCATCCTAGGAAGGTCAGACTGGGAAGGGACGGGAGGAATAAGGAAGTGGGGAGGTTATTTAACTTCCAGCTCAGTTAGGATATCTGCTTTCCTCATAGCAAGACTATTCTTAATTTTAAAAAAAAATATATAAAACAAAAATAACTTACTGTGTAGGCAATTAACTCTGGTTGGCATAGCGATCCTCTTAAGTTAAAGGGGATGAGCAGGAGATGGAGAAAAGGAAGAAGTGAAAAGAAAAGTTTGCAACAGCAAAATCAGAATGCGAGACGGTAAGAGTTTGAAGCATTTACATCACACAACATAGGACGTTACTGTGCAGGACGTTGGTTTGCTTCTCTTTGTCTTACTTTTGAATATTTTTCAGTCTCCACCAATGCTTTTGTTCTTACTTGCAGTAAAACAGACATAAAATGTACCATCTTAGCCACTTCTAAGTTTGGTTTGTCTGAAGCACATCGCAGTGTGGTGTAAGCATACCAGGGCTTTGTTAAGCTAAAAATAAAACTAATTTGAGGAATGCATTTCCTGTCTTGGCTGCATCATCACAGTAAATAGATTTCCAACCAGCAGAATTCCAGGGGAATTCTAACAGGCAGGCAGGTCTCGGAAAGCTAACTTCCTCCTATGACAGGAGACACAGGTGGTTCTTAATCTGAAAATGGGTTTTAGTTTAAAAAGGAGAGCTGCCTCCTTATCACCAGTTTTTGGTGGAAAACAACAACCATCTGCATAATGCAGAATCATCTAAGGTTCTGACAACAAATCTCTCAGATAACACTAGAATGTAAAGCAATTTTTTTAAAGTGCTACCAAATGGGTCCCTTTAAAAAATCCTGGGTCTGCGAAGTCCTAGGAGTGAGGTGCGTCCTGTGAGCCCAGCGCCGCCGCCCACGGGGCTCAGGGTGGAGAACCGGTGCACCTGTGGGCACCAGATCCCCAGGAGTGGGGGTGTCACCCATCCCACCGGCCACGGGAGAGAAGCGGGGTGTCCAGGACACAGCAAGGACACAAACCGCAGGGAAAGAACTCCCTGGGAGGACCGTGGAGGGAGGGAGGGAGGAGGGAGCAGAGGTCTCTGAATGCACCCGGGTTGGCGAGGCTCAGCCTTTCAGAATGAACTGAGGGCGGGAGGCAGGGTCAGCTTCTGTGAGAAGAGGAGACGCCTGCTGGTCTGTTGGGCACAGAAGGGGCGCACCCACCTGTCCTCCGTGTGCCCACCCTGCCCAGCGCCCACCTGCCTGCTTTAGGTCCAGGTGAGGCCCCTTGGGCGGCTCTGGCCCCAAGATGCCGGGGGTGGGGAGGTGGTACATGCCGGGCTGTGGACCAACAGCCAGGCCACCTTTTCTACAACAGAGGCCAGGAAGCCGCCACAGAGCCAGTGCTCAGGTCAACGCTCCCCATGCCACCCCTGGCCACCCGACGGGGCCCTGGGGATAAGGTCTCAACATCGGGCAGCAGGCAGATGGAGTCCGATCTTCATCTCAGGGTCTGGAACCACACCCAGGAATCCTCTCCTCTCTCTCTACCCCTCTTCTCACTTCTGCCTCCTCCCCCATCTGTCCCTGATCTGCCGGGGAGAGACAGGAATCGAATGGGGAGGGCTCTCCAGCTCCATCCCAAAGACACCGGGGCTGTCCTGTGCCCCGAGGTGTGATGAGTGGCACCCCTGGCCTCAACATGGCTGAAGCCAGCAGCGCCCCCCACTCCCCGCTATGACAATTGAAACTCTCCAGCCACGGCCAGTGTCCCCTAGGGAGGGGACACGATTGCCCCAAGCCGGAACCACTGCACTGGTCCCCGGCACCAAGAACAAAGGAGCAGGAGGCAGAGCTGCTGACCACGGTTCCTGACCTGTGAGATTCCTAGTGTCTACCCTCGCCGAGGAGCCAGGATGTAGCACAGAGCTGTACCAGGACTCCCGGCTTGGCCCCGGCCCCTGCCTCGGCTCTCCTGTCCCATCCTCTGCACTGGGACCTCCGATAACTGCCCGGCCGGGGAGGTTCTTGGGGAGGCGGGCACCCGCAGTAGGTACATCCCCGTACATGGAGGAGGGAGCTGAGACTCAGCGGGTCTTGAAGCCTCACAACCAGAGCTGGCCGAACCTCTGGGCTAAATTCTCTAGGTAAGAATCTTCAGGTCAGCATCGTGCCAAAGTGCTGTCTGGGTTAAACTGCACATTGAAGAAATGTACAGATTTAAAGCCCTGTTTTAGTGCTAATGCGAAGCAGTCACATTAGCACTAGTCGCTTATTCTAATACAATGATTACCTTACCTCTGCACATGTATTAAGTTAATTGGCTAATTTTCTAGGGAGCTCTCTCCCCGTGGGTCCTGTTAGGGATGAATGGGAAGGTCTGGTTTGGTTTCAGTTGGAGGGAAGAGTCTGAGAGGCATGCAAGTGCAGGGGAGCCCGTCTGTGCAGCTGAGGGAACCCCAGTCTCTGCCCAGCAGGTCTCCTTGGCTCCATTGTGGTATATGGCTCCTGGTGGCCCCCCTCCATGCTCTGGATGGTTCTATTCCCAGGAGGAGGGTGCACAGAGAACAGGGTGCCTCTAGCCATGAACACCAAGTGGCCCCAAGAACAGAGAGATGACCTGGCTGCTCACACTCAGAAGGGCTCTGAACATGCCCCCAGCCCTGGCCATGGGCTCGAAATGGGCTCAGACATTGAGTGCAGGTGTTTTTGTAGGCGTGGGTGTGCAAGGGTAGGGTGCCCTTGTAGAGGAGAAGGGGAAGAGAGCAGAGACTGAGAACCGAATTTTAGTCTGGAAACTAGCTGGAGACCGAAGCCACGGACTGGCAGAGGGGAGTGATGGAGAGCAGGGTCGGGGTCGGCAGGGAGGAAGGGAGGGGCTGGTACCTTTATGCTTCTTGGCAGCAGCTGGCTCCAACTCCGATACACTCAGGGAGCTCTCAGACAATTCGTCCCCCTCGGGGTCCTGCAGGGCCTGGCCACCCCACGCCCCAGCCGGTGGCTCCTTCTCCAAGTCCCAGGAATCTAGCTCTATCTCCTGGGGCTCCAGGGCTGGCAGGGTCCCCACTGGGGCCTCCTCCTCCTCCTTGGGCGGGGCAGAGGTCACAGCCGCCTCCGGCTGGTCCTGGGGGGCAGCCTCTCGGCGGGCACCATCCATGGAGGCTGCGTAGTCCAGCATCAGGGCTGCGTCACTGTCCTGAGATAGCGAGGTCTGTCCGGGGGCGAGAGACAAAGTCAGGGTGAGGAAGATGCAAGGATGCTCGGGAGGGGCAGTGAGCTGGAGAGGCCTTGACAGCCCCACCCACACAGCCGTGCGGTTGGTTTCGGCGGCCGAAGGTGCCTGGCCCTACAGGGAGACAGCTACGGAAGCTGAGAATCAGTGGACGCAGGTCTCCCAAGGCAGAGGGTCGGCCTGAGGTGCCAGGCCAGGGGAGTCTGGGGAAGGGCACCCCGTCTGGGTGCGGAGGTGGTACACAGTCTGCTTAATGACCGTTGACAACTGCCTCTTCTGACCCAAGTCAGAAATGCCCACTGATTCAATCTGGGACAATTTGACCTGCAGTAAAAATGGGGTTTTCTTGGTGGCTCAGCATAAAGAATCCGCCTGCCAGTGCTGGAGATGTGAGTTCAATCCCTGGGTTGCAAACATCCTCTAGAGGAAGAAATGGCAGGCCACTCCAGCATTCTTGCCTGGAGAATCCCATGGACAGAGGAGCCTGGTGGGCTACAGTCCATAGGGTTGCAAAGAGTCAGACATGACTTAGCGACTAAACAACAACCACAACAACAATGGTAAGTCAGCTGGACTAAATGATCTAGAATAAAACCTTAGAGAAGACACAGAGGAGATGGAGACAGTCACAAGTCTTGTCCTTATTTAACTCATTTGTTCTTTTTTTTTTTTAAGCCTCTGGTGCGTCAGCCAGTAAAGAATCTGCCTGCAAATGCAGGAGACCTGGTTTCTATCCGTGGGTCGGGAAGATCCCCTGGAGAAGGGAATGGCTACCCACTCCAGTGTTCTTGCCTGGAGAATCCATGGACAGGGGAGCCTGGTGGGCTACAGTCCATGGGGTCACAGAGGGTCAGACACAACTGAGGGACTAACACTTGCACTCTCATTCTTATTTTTTGGTTTTTAGTTTAGCATAGTTTTGTTTTTGGCCACACCGCTTGGCATGTGGGATCTTAGCTCCCTGACCAGGCGATGGAACCCCTGCCCCCCGCAGTGGAAACTCGGAGTCCTAACCATTGGACCACCAGGAAGTACACTCACTCATTTATTCATCCTAAAGAAAACCCAACTACTGAACTGAGCCGGGTGCTTCCAGAGATGCCATCGCCCCCTGCTGGCTGCTTCTGGAAGTGCATGCAGGAAACCCAGAGGCATCACCTGGCTCTTGGAAGATAGTTTCCAAGGCCACCCACAGCCTGGGTACAATTGCAACATTGGTGACTCGCCCCTAGCACCTCCCGGGACCTGTTATGGCCCCTTTTCCAAGAGCCAGGGGCTCAGTTCTCAGCATGCCCTCCAGTCCACCCTCTCATGCCCTCAAGAAATCAAGCCACCTGCCGTGTCCAAAAATGCATCTTCCTCCTTGCCCCCTCCCAACTACTAAATTTCCCACCTGCCGCTCCGTCACTCACATTTTCTTTGCTCATTCTGAAAGGTTAACAAGAGTAAGGGACTGTCACCTGGGCCCTTGCCCTGAGGGGCTGGCCTCTCCAGTAGCCTGGCCTGCCCACTGTCCACCCGGGATGCCTCGAGCCTGCCATCTGCCCTGGACTAAGGTCGCAGGACAGCACAAGAAAGGCATGGGGACGGGGATGTGTTTTAGAACAAGCTTCATTTCTCTGATGGCAGGAGGCATAAACATTCATTGCAAAAGGAAGCGTTTGGAAATGAGTCATGTGTAAAGTGAAAGTTCCCCAAGACGGCGGTGATGGGGGTGGAGGTCCTGTCCCGAAGGGGAGTTGACCTCATCTCGGTCTTTCTCTTTCAGTAATTTTTCTTCAAATGATTCACCAACCTCTCAACACACAAAGCATCCCAGGTCAGAAACCGTCAAGGCTGCAAGGAGTTGGACATGACTGAAGCCCCATAGCAAGCATGCAGGCGACCCGACACTCGCGGTGGAACTTCCGGAGTTCAGTGGAGAGCTGGGGCGGGGTGAGGCGGACGTGGGAGGCGGAGAGGCTCACCTTGGAAACCCCGGATATGATGATCGTGCTCTTCTTCCTTGGGGACTTGAGCTTCAGCTTCGAGGACTCGCTGAGCTGCCGGATGGCGACTTCCGCCACCGGGTCGGCCCCGTTCAGCACCAGCAGCTCTGCCGGGGGAAGAGCAGGGTCGGGCACATTAGCCAAACCTGAAACTTCGACCGGAACTTCAAAGACGGGGCAACAGATCTGGTCGTTAAGGAGGGGCTGGCAAACATTTTCTGCAAAGGGCCAGAGGGTGACTAGCTTGGGCTTTGTGGGCAGCTGGCCTGTCGCAACGACTCCACGCTGTCTCAGAAGTGCGTTAGCAGAGACCGGATGTAAGAGTGCACACTGGGGACTTCACCCCTGCATGTGGTCCAGTGGATAAGAAGCCGCCTGTCAATTCAGGGGACATGAGTTTGATCCTCAGTCCGGGAAGATTCCACATGCCTCGGGCCAACTGAGCTTGTATGCCACAACTATTGAGCCCAGATTCTAGAGCCCGTGCTCTGCAACAAGAGAAGCCACGGCAATAAGAAGCCTGTGCAATGCAACTACAGAAAGCCCGTGCGTAGCAACGAAGACCCAGTGCAGTCAATAAAATAAATTAAAATAAAATTTATAGATAATTTCTTTTACAGTGGGCATGGCAGGTTCTGGGGAAACTTCACGAGCAGGACAGGCAATGTTCCTGGTCTACAGCCGATGCTCTGCGCTTACACACACTCACCAAGGTGTATGCTTCACATCATGCACTTAAAAAACAATAATAATAATAATTTTGTTTACTTATTTTTGGCTTAGCTGCTGCTTGGGCTTTTCTCAGGTGCGGCAGGTGGGGGCGAGTCTCCAGCGCAGGCTCAGTAGCTGCAATGCACAGGCTTAGTTGCTCTGCAGCATGTGGGGTCTTCCCAGATCAGGGATCGAACCAGCATCTCCTGATTGGCAGGGGGATTCTTTACCACTGAGGCACCAGGGAGGCCCTCACATCATGCATTTTAATGTACGGAAGCCATGTCTCAGTGGAGCGATAAATAACTAAGGCATGTAAGGAAACAGAAACCTCTGAGCTTTGGGGAGATGTGAACTCTGAAGGGCAATGCAGCTATTCCCTGGCCTTCCCAGGAGGTCTGGACACATAAGCCAGTGTTCAGGATGTTGAGGGACTGTTCACGGAAGCTGCTCCTCCCCAGGATTGAGCCCACACCCCGGCCAACATCCAGGGAATGCTTAACTCGGACCCAAGTCCTGGAAAGAGCTCTGTGAGTGCTGTTTCAGGTAATTACCCCCAAGGTCTCAGAGGGGGGCAGCTTTTTCAGTCTCCGTTTGAGGAATGGGGAAGACAGGAGGCGGCCAGGTGGGCGGCGGGGCTAGGAAGCCCCGCCTCCCCACCCGGCTGGGTGTCTCCTACTCAGCGATGCTGCTGGACCTTATAGGTAATCGCTGCTCTGGGACAATAAAAAGGACACAGGGTGAAGGGGCAGCATGCCAACAGGAACATTTTCTCAGCTTGGCCTCAGTCTGTGGACCACAGATGCTCCACTTCCATGGCCGTCGTGAAGGACCAGGTGGTGGAGGCCTCTGTGACCGCGGACTCCACCCCCCCACCCCCTGCCCCAGGGGAAGAATGGAACGTGGGAGATGGCTGCGATGTCAGTCCCAGGTCTCAGGACGGGGGCGGCGTCACTGAGCCCAGAGCTTCCGTCCATCCTGAGAGAGCGCATCCACGTGTCCACTGTGCTTGAGAAAGCTTCCAGGGTCCCTGGCTGCACAGAGCGGGCTTGGGGATACGACCCTCGGGCCAGCGGGGGAAGCACAGCGGGGACACCCCGCTCAGGGTGAAGGTGCCACCATGCTACAAGGCAGAGCTGAGCAAGGACCCTCGGAAGCAGCCAAAGGAGGGGTGTTGTCTCCGTCGAGGATTCTGCAGTTGGTGGGCGGGGACGGGGGCGCTACCCTGCAGCTCCCATAGAACCAGGGAAACTCCCACGGGGAAGAGGCAGTTTCCCACTCCTGCCAGGCTCTGAGAACACAGAGCCATCCCAAGACAGCACCCATCAAAGGAGAGTTGCCTGCCCACCGCCCACTCCTCCCATCCCATCCGCAACCTTAGCAAGAAAAGAAACAGGACTCGGTGGACAGGGGCTGGTGGGCGAGCTGGAGAGAAGCTGCCTGCTCCATTCTTCTCGAACTGCAGGTCACATGTGATGATCAAAGGGAGGAAATTTAACCCCAAATCTAGATTGTGCTTTGACTCCAATGGCAGGGACACAAGCGACCAGGTAGTGGGAACCTGCATCCAGAGTTCTGGGAACACTAACCCAGTTACAGGGGCTTCCCAGGTGGCGTTAGTGACAAAGAACCCACCTGTCAATGCAGGAGATGTAAGAGACCCAGGTTACATCCCTGGTCGGGAAGATCCCCTGGAGGAGGGCATGGCAACCCACTCCGGTATTCTTGCCTGGAGAATCCCCATGGACAGAGGAGCCTGGCAGGCTACAGTCCAAGGGGTTGCAAGAGTTGGACATGACTCAGTGACTTAGCATGGCACCTTCTTACAGAGGTTTCCGGAGACAAAAAATAAAGAAGTCTTTACAATTACATCCCTGAATCCTGCTTATTTTATGATATCCAGGTAACTGGCACATTGAACAAGAGGAAAAATAACAGTGATAAATTTTTCGTAGTGAGGCATGAGCTGGGTTTTATGCTTCTTTTGTCCAAGTTCCCTAAAACAGGACAGGGATGCCAATGCCACTCTGTCTTCCATTGACTTCTACTTCCCTCTTGTTCTTCTAGTTCCTCACTTATCCTTGAAAAAGATAACTCTCCCCAAACTCTAACAAGGAAATGCGTCTTCTCACCAGATGAGAGCTCGCAAGCAGAGCCTGAAAAAGCCGACTGGGGACCATCTGGAGTGGTCTCACGTTACCTGTGTCTGAGGAAGAGAATGTTTTGCTGACGGGGGCACCATGGCAGGAAATGGCCTGGACCGAGATGTCCTTCTCGATGACCTTCACCTTGACAGGTGTCCTCAGGGGAGACTCTGCTGGGAGAAATCCTGGTTATAGCGGCCCTTCGAAAGCTGTCCGACTCTGCAGTCACCGGAAAGTGAATCATGTCTCATTTCAGCTCTACTTCAAGCAGCCTGGGGGGCTTCCCTGGTGGTCCAGCGGCTAAGGCTCTACACTCCCAAAGCAGGAGGCCTGGGATCAAACCTTGGTTAGGGAACTAGATCCCACATGCTGCAACAAAAGATTCCCTGGTGCCACAACTAAGACCCAGCGCAGCCAAATAAGTAAATATAACTAACTGTAACAATCTCGAGGTGTGGGATGGGGAGGGAGGTGGGAGGGAGGTTCAAGAGCAAGGGGACATGTGTATATCCATGGCTGATTCATGTTGATGTTTGGCAGAAACCAACACAATTCTGTAAAGCAATTACCCTTCAATTAAAAAATAAATAAAATTTAAAAATGTATTACTAATTAACTGTTCATGCAGCTGGAAAAGGTAAGAGGAAAACCTTAAGATATTTTTAACACACTCTCTTAATTCTTTTTTGGGGGGAGGGAAGGAATGCCCCCAAAGGGGCATTGGAAACCTAGGTTTAAATAAAACTTCAGAAACCTTTGAATTAAGCCAGAATTTCACTTTCTGCTTTTCATTCAAGAACTGAGCCAAGTAATTTATTCTGGCACGGTAATACTTCTGTATAGGCAGGAACACAGTACAAATTAAAAAGTAATAATAAACCATACACTTATACAGAAGTTGTTTCCAAGGTGGTGGATGTGGGGACAGCTACAGAATTTGGCTAGATCTGAAACCACTATGCATCAAGCCTCCGAATGAATGATTTTTGACATGAGAAAATACACTGGCCGCTCACATCTAATGTTTTAAGATAAAGTGCGGTCCCATGTAAATGTCATGGCGTGCTTAATTTAACGAGATATTTCATCTAGTATCTTGACTTTGGTATCAGAATACACTGCAGGGTTGAACCTTGCTTTGTCTTATCTGACAAGATAGAAAGATAATTGTCTTAAAAAAAAAAAAAGAGCTACGCAAAAGAGTTGCCAGTTACCATTCTTCCTGTGCCAGGAGATTTTTCTTACAAATAATCCTGCAGCCTACAGTGCTCTGCAATTTATAGATGCAAGACATTTACCGGGGAAGTGTGATTTCAGACTTTCTGCGGGAGGAGCCTCACCAGAGCCCAGCGGGGACGCCCTCCCTGCGTCGAAGCGAGGCTTGGTTTTCACAGCAGTGACAGTAGTGACCACGGTCCCGCATGGCATCACAGTGCGGTCTTTTTCTATCTTTGCAGCAGGAACAGGTGGAGGCATTTGCCAGGGTTTTACCTCACCGGGTTCTATGTAAGAAAACTGCAGAGAAGGCTGGTTAACTGCTTTGTAGTCCGTGCCGACGGACACCTCGCCATGGCGCACTCCCTGCCTTTGCAATAACCTCTGATATCTTTAACTGTCACTTAGTATCATAATTAATGGGTAAGAATTGAGATTTTCCCAGAATTGACATAGGAGGATGAGACCCAGGCTCAGACCCAGCCACTCAGCTTGTAATGATGGGAACACAGGCTGGAGAACCAAACAATATAAGATAGCCCCTTCTGAGTTAGGCCTGAGTGAAAGGACATCACGGGCAGTTATGTCGGGCAGACGATGCAATGTAACCCTGGGCAGGAAGCACCCCACTCATGTCTAGAAATGTGTGGGAGGAAACATCAAGCTTTTCTTGGACGAGCTTCTTGTTTCAAGGTGAATGAGAGCAGGAGTCTGATAGACATAGATTGTGGCGCCCTACACCGAGGTCACGGGTGTGGAGTCCTACATTGTGGTCACAGTTGTGCACCCTACACTGAGGTCACAGTTGTGCACCCTACACCGAGGTCACGGGTGTGGAGTCCTACATTGTGGTCACAGTTGTGCGCCCTACACTGAGGTCACAGTTGTGCACCCTACACTGTGGTCACAGTTGTGCACCCTACACTGAGGTCACAGTTGTGCACCCTACACCGAGGTCACGGGTGTGGAGTCCTACATTGTGGTCATAGTTGTGCGCCCTACACTGAGGTCACAGTTGTGCGCCCTACACCGAGGTCACGGGTGTGGAGTCCTACATTGTGGTCACAGTTGTGCGCCCTACACTGAGGTCACAGTTGTGCACCCTACACTGTGGTCACAGTTGTGCACCCTACACTGAGGTCACAGTTGTGCACCCTACACCGAGGTCACGGGTGTGGAGTCCTACATTGTGGTCATAGTTGTGCGCCCTACACTGAGGTCACAGTTGTGCGCCCTACACCGAGGTCACGGGTGTGGAGTCCTACATTGTGGTCACAGTTGTGCGCCCTACACTGAGGTCACAGTTGTGCACCCTACACTGAGGTCACAGTTGTGCACCCTACACCGAGGTCACGGGTGTGGAGTCCTACATTGTGGTCACAGTTGTGCACCCTACACTGAGGTCACGGGTGTGGAGTCCTACATTGTGGTCATAGTTGTGCACCCTACACTGAGGTCACAGTTGTGCACCCTACACCGAGGTCACGGGTGTGGAGTCCTATATTGTGGTCACAGTTGTGCACCCTACACTGAGGTCACAAGTGTGGAGCCCTACATCGTGGTCACAGGTGTGTGCCCTACACTGAGGTCACAGTTGTGGCATCCTACACTGAGGTCACAGGATAAAAATTTCCGGAATTAACCAAGCCCCACAGCAACTGTTCACCATGAACCTCTGGATCTAAACCTGCCAGTTCCCTGACGTATTAGGTAAAACACCCACTCTATAGCATCCTAACCAATCACCTAACACCACTATCCTAGCATGAATCTCCTCTGTCTTAAGGCGGTGAAAATTGGCCAATAGTCCTCGAAAGGGGTTGGCTCTCCCTTGAGCCTGTCCGCTGTTCTAACAGTGTCTCCTACTCTAATAAATTCTATTCTCCTCTCATTCTGCCTCACGTCTGGAAATTCTTTTTCAACTTGTGCTCAGACCATGACATCAACAAAGACGTCCCTTTGCTCAAGTGGGTGGAGCAGGACCTTCACAGAGGACATCATACCTCTGCAGTAACTGAACCCAACGCCGAGCTGCCCGAGGAGGCCCCGCTGGTTAACGTAAAGCTCTGAGGCCCGGAAGGCTGCTTCTTGAACAAATCCAAGGGGACAGTCGTCATCGCCAACAGAGCTAAAGAGACAGGGGATGAGTGGGGAGAACCATGCGTGTCTGCATGGGAGCAGGATGGCCCAGAGCAGCTGCATCCAGAGGCAGCCCTGGACGTGCCCCCCACCCCTCCCCCCCTCCCCACCCTCCTGCCTTGCTCCCTGCGAAACACTCCCATTTCAGAACATTTTAGAAAAGTCAGTGTTGTAAAAGATACAAGAAGGCCCTGGAAATGCCCCAAACCAGGGTGGCTACAGAGTTGTGACGATCAGAGGCGGTATGTGATCCTATCCTGGACTGGGAAATACTGCTAGGAAGGACCTTAGGGGATCGGCTGATGGGAACTGAAAAATCTGGTCGGGATATTAACAAAGTGAATCAGTGTGACTCAGGAAGCTGATAACTACACTGTGGACAAATAAGAGAATGCCCCTATTCTTAGGAAGCACATACTAAAGAATTTAGGAGCAAAGGGCCAGGACGCCCCATACTTAAAGGCACAAGGTTTGCCCTGAGTGTGTGTGTGTGGCGAGAGAAAGACCACTGGACAGCAACCACCACGTATGAGCACAAACAATGAAGGAAATGGGCAAAATGCTAAAAATATTTGAGTTCGAGTAAAGGTTATATGGTTGTTCTTTGTTCTGTTTTTTGTTTCTTCTTAAGTGAGAAATTTCACAAATCCCATCAGGCTGGACTAGAACGAAATTCCCACATGGCCAGCAGGGGCGGTGCCCTGGGCATGGATTAGCAAACAGCAGTTCCACCCTGCGTTCAGACCACACACCCTCTCTTGGAATGTCAGTTCTTATCTCAGGGGCATCCCAGTTATCTCCAGACTACAGAGCTGAGGAAACTGCCTCAAAATTATGGCTAATTAACTAGGGGGCTTGAATTGCTTTTTCCTATGTCTTGGTAACTTTAGGAGATAAACAGATGGCTTAGTTTCACAGCTTAATTAGCCAGGCAAGGGTCACCTCTCCCTTTTGTTCATACACATTTTAAGAAACCTAATAAATACTGAAACTATGGATTTACACACATGCATATACACAGGTCCACACTCACTCTAGGGAGTTTTACCTCTGATTATTGCTTTCTTGTATCTAAAGCATGTGCCCAATATCGGAGAAGGAAATGGCAACCCACTCAAATATTCTTGCCTGGAGAATTCAATGGACAGAGGAGTCTGGAGGGCTACAGTCCATGGGGTCACAAAGACTCGGACACGACTGAGCCAGCTAACACTTTACTTCAAAGTATGTGCTCTATTTAAGCTGCTGGGGCTTCTTTCACAAGGAAAAGCCAGTTGTAATTCATGGAGACAGAAAGCAGAAGGGTGTGTGCCAGAGGCTACAGAAGAGGCATGGGGAGTGAGTGTAAGTTTTGTAAGATGAAGGACTGATATCGAAGCTGAAGTTCCAATACTTTGGTCACCTGGTGCAAAGAGTGAACTCACTGGAAAAGACCCAGATGCTGGGAAAGATTGAGGGCGGGAGGAGAAAGGGGAGACAGAGGATGAAATGACTGGATGGTATCACTAACTCAAGGGATATGAGTTTGAGCAAACTCTGGGAGATGGTGAAGGACAGGGAAGCCTGGTGTGCTGCAGTCCATAGGGTTGCAAACAGTTGGACAAAACTGAGTGAATGAACAGCAACAAAGATGAATTTTGGAAATGGATGGTGGTAATGTCTGTACAACCATGTGAATGCACTTAGTGCTACTGAATTTTACACTCAAAGATGGTTAAGATGGTAACGTTTATATACGTTTTACCACAATTAAAAACTGAGATAAAATTTTTAAAAAAGGTTTATTAAGCCCAAGAAGGCTGAGAATTGCTTCTCAAGCCAATGATTGTTGAATAAAAGATTTTGGATATTTGTATTAAAAAATGAAAAGAACTAGTTGAATATACTCTTTCTCAGAATGTTTGACCTTGTTAATAACTAGAATAACTGCTGACAAAGGTCCATATAGTCAAAGCTATGGTTTTTTCAGTAGTCATGTATGGATGTGAGAGTTGGACCATAAAGAAGGCTAAGCACCAAAAAATTCATGCTTTCAAACTGTGGTGCTGAAGACTCTTGAGAGTCCCTTGGACTGCAAGGAGATCAAACCAATCAATCCTAAAGGAACTCTTTAGGATTTCCATCAGGCCACCTGATGGAAAGAGCTGACTCACTGGAAAAGACCCTGATGCTGGGAAAGATTGAGAGTAGGAGGATAAAGGGGCGACAGAGGATGAGATGGTGGCATGTCATCATTGACTCTAGGGACATGAGTTTGAGCAAACTCCAGGGGATAGTGGAGGACAGAGGAGCCTGGTGTGCTGTGGTCCATGGGGTCACAAAGAGTGGGACAGGACTTAGTGACTTAACAACAACAATCATTGGAATGGACTGTTGACTAAACATTCCCTTGGGAAAACTTGGAGTGGCTTAGTGGGCAGAGCGATCCTTCTGCTGAATCTCCCACCCTCCCTGCCCCAAGGCCCTGGTCAGGGCTGCTGTATGACCCTCCCAGAGAGCAGGCCTCCTTCTGTCTGCTGAACACCCACCTTCTGAGGACTGCCCGTCATCTGAAATCTGCAGGTGCAACTCCCTCGACTTGGCATTCAACTCACTGTGGAAAGAAGGGCTGTGAGTCCTTAAAAATGTTTTACTATCTTCTTGAAATAGTATTTTTTTTTTCTGATTTGACAGAAAGGAATGCAAATCACCATCAATATTTAAGAAACTACAGGGACATATAAGTCAAGTAAATACAAAGATTATCAGCAACTTCACTATCCAGAAATAATTACTGCTAGTATTTGGTGACTAGTGTCCTAGGATTGGGATTCCCAGGTGGCTCAGTGGTAGAGAATTCGCCTGCCAATGCAGGAGATGCAGATTCAGTCCCTGGGTGGGGCATATACTCTGGAGTAGGAAATGGCAACCCATTCCAGTGTTCTTGCCTGGAAAATCCCATGCACAGAGAAGCCTGGTGGGCTACAGTCCATGGGGTTGCAGAATCAGACATGACTTAGCAACTGAGCCCACATGCACATTCCTAGGATTATCCAGTGGAACTTAATGAATGACAATGGAAAAGTTCTGTAGAACTGCCATCAGATTTGGTGGCCAGCAGCTACATTTGGCTATTGAGAAATTTATTTTATTTTTGGCTGCACTGGGTCTTCACTGTTGCGCGTGGACTTTCTCTAGTTGCAACGAGTGGGGGCTACTCTTTGTTGTGGTGAACAAGCTTCCCATTGCAATGGCTTCTTTTGTTGTAGGGCATGGGCTCTAGGCACACGGGCTCAGGCACCTAGGCTCGGTAGTCGTGGCTCATGGCTAAGCAGCTCTGTGGCAGGTGGAATTTTCCTGGAACGGGGATCGAACCTGTGTTTCCTTGCATTGCAAGGCAAATCCTTAACCACTGGACCACCAGGGAATCCCAGCTACTGAGAACTTTAAATGTGGCCAGTGTGAACGGAGGAACTGGGTTTCATTTTGTTAATTTTAATTAATTGAAATTTAAAGAGCTACATGTGGTTAGCAGTTCCTATATTAAAAGGTATAGCTGTATAACTATTTGAAAACAAATATAGAACATAATATGCTTCCCCATTCCTTTATAATCTGTTGTTTTCACTTAAGATTTCATGGATATCTTCCCAAGTCAATAGGTATAGAGCAACACCCTTTTTCATAGGCATCTAGTACTCCACCATCTGGCCCTATGAGATTTTATTCAGCCAACTCCTTAATAACCAAGCCTCAATAATGGTTTGCCTCCAATATTTCATAATTATAAACAAGCTGAGATAAACATCCTCATATGTATATCTTTGCACACACTGTGTGATTATTTCCTTAGAAAAAGAGCAATTGCCAATCAAAAGGTATATGCATATAAAAGATTTTGTTTTTTTATATATATTGATGACTTCCAGAATAATTATTCCAATATATATATCCACTGGCCACTTTCAGTTTTTCTCTACGCACTTGTAAGGGGAAAAATAATCTTTGCTTAAGTTTGCATTACTTTAGCTATTTCTGAGATTGAATATCTTTTCAGATGTTTCTAGCTATCTATAATTCTTACTTTTTTATTTCTAGTTGAGATATTTTGCCTAATTTTGTATGAGAATCACATATTTGTATTAATAATTTATAAAAAGCCCTTTACATTATACATGGGACACCTTCTTCCTTTACTTTTCTAATTATTTACTATTTAACACCAGAAAGTGATTTCTATATTTTTGTAGTCAGCTACTTTACCAAAATATAATTTATATTAATTTTTGTATTATTGTTTCTATGTATATCCATTATTTCTAATAGTTTCAATTGATTTTCTTGAGTAGTCTGTGTGTGTTAGTCACTCAGTTGTGTCCAATTCTTTGTGATCCCGTGGACTGCAGCCCGCCAGGGTCCTCTGCCCATGAGATTTCCCAGGCAAGAATACTGAAGTGGTTGCCATTTCCTTCTCCAGGGGATCTTCCCGACCCAGGGATCAAACCCTGGCCTCCTGCATTGCAGCAGATTCTTTACTGCCTGAGCCACCAGGGAAACCCTGAGTAGGCTAAATATGCAATAATATCATCTCCAAGTAATGACTAGTTTTGCCTCTTCCTCTCTACTACTTGCATACTATTTCTTTTTCTTATCTAATTGCATTAACCAGCACTTCTAGAACAAAACACTGGGGATCCTTCTCTTGACTTTAGTGGGACTGCTTCTAATACTTATCACTAACGTGATTTTTTAAAAAATCTTTTGGAAAAAAGTGAACATAAATCTTGTTCTAATTAAGTTTTAAAACTTAGAAACTGGTATCAAATGCCACTGACTATCTTTTGGGCCTATATAGAGATAATTACTTTGTGTTTTTCTTTGATCTAGTGACACGATGGATTTCATTAATAGATCTCACATTAACCCATACTTGCACTTTTGGTATGAACTCAGCCTCAGTGTATTATTCTTTTTTTTTTTTTTTTTAAATTCAGTAGTTGCAGCACGATGCTCAGCAGTTGTGGCTCACAGGCTTAGCTGCTCCATGACATGTGGAATCTTCCCAGACCAGGGATTGAACCCATGTCCCTTGTATTGGCAGGAGGACTCCCACCAGGAAAGTCCTTGGTATATCATTCTTCATGTGCTACTGGATTCTATTTGATAGTAGTTTAGTTAGAATTCCTACATCATAATTTATAAGTGGTCTACACATTTCCCTTTTTCCATTCTCTTTGTCAGACTTTGGTATTGAGAGAGTTAATTCTTAGGTGAGTTGATAAGGAGTCTGGGACCCTCAAGGAGGAAGGGTCTGGGGCCCTCAAGGAGGAGAAAAGGGCAAACTTTTTTTTCTACATTGCTTTGTCTTAGTCACATAGAGGCTATTTTCTTTAAGCCCAGAGCCAATGATGACACAACAAAACTCATCTTGCTCAAGGATCTGTTTTGCCTTAAGCTCTGTACTAATGATTCTATAACAACAATGTGCCTTGCTCGAGGACACGGTTCTTCTTCTTAACAAGAACCTTCTGACTAATCTTGTTATCTCAAGATGTATGTTGTAAGAGTGGGTCTGGTAAGACCTTTCAATTGTTAGTTCTAATTTTGCTAATTTAAGATTTCTGTTGTGGGAGTGGGTCTGGTAAAAGTATATAAGGCCTTGATAAAACTAGCCAGTGCGGGCATTCTTCATCCCCCTTCTGATGTCTATGTCAGAAGCTTTCTCTCGTCCCTTTTCTTACTTTAATAAAACTCTGCTACACAAAAGCTCTTGAGTGATCAAGCCTGGTCCCTGGTCCGGAAGCTAAATCTTCTTCTTCCAGAGATCACGAATCCAACATTGTTCACTGTAAGCTATCAGTATCCATCAGAAGTTGCCTTTCATTCTGCTCTGGATGGCGTGTGTTTCTAAAGCAAGTGGGAGGTCGAACAACACATCTCCCTTGTCACAGCAGGGCATGGGAGTAGGTGAGGAGTGAACCGATACTAAGAGCTGCCTTCAAAAAGAAATCCATCTCTGACTTAAAGCCACCTCAGTGTTTCCCCCTTCCTCTCTTCCTTTCCTTTCTTCCTTCCTTTTGTGCTACGGGATGGTTTCAGAATTTGACAGCATCGAGTAGGTGAGGCCATGGAAACCCAAGTCCATGAGAGCCAGCTGTACTCACAAGGTGAATTCTTCTTCCCAAGTGAGGGCAGTAGCGTTTCTTGCGAGGGTGCTGGAGAACTTCTGAACAGGATCATTCAGCCGAACTATACATACTGGGTTAACATTGCCTGTAATCAGACAGAAGGCCACCGTATTAGCCTTTATTTCTCTCTTCTAGTTGGATCAAGACATTTTGCATATAAGAGAAAGGCTGAATTCGATGTCTGTGGTCTTGGCTCTCCTACTTCTGAGTGTCCATTTACAACCTCTCAAAGCACGTACTCTGGGGTGACAGATTCTATGCTCGCTGGATGTCCACAGCCGTAGACTGCCTCCAAGTCACACTCTCCCCCTCAGCTCTGACTGCAGGCACTGACCCCCAGGGGGGTGCCCTCCCTGGGGTGATATTACAGCAGAGATGTGGGCCCCACTTTGGATAAGACTAACTGCTTGGAAAAGTCAGGGCATCAGGGGTAACTGCTAAATTTGGGGGTACCTCACATAGAACCTGCTTCCCTCTTACAAAGATGTATGTTTTTACAGTTGACTCAGCTCAGCCAAAAATTTTTGAGGTATCTGATCCAAGTAACAGGACATTTCACCAGTGAAGACCTGTGTCTGCTTCAAGGCTATGCTTGCCCTAGGGCATAAAGCTGTGACTATATCGTGTAATCAGTGATCAATGGTAGGACTTCCTTGGCGGCTGACTGGTAAAGAAACTACTGGTGAACACAGGGGACACAGGTTTGATCCCTGGTCTGGGAAGATTCCACATGCCACAGAGCAACAAAGCCCATGTGCCAACAATTAGTGAGCCCCTGCTCCAGAGCCTGGAAGCTGTAGCCGCCGGGCCTGCACACCCTAGAGCCCGTGCCCCACAACAAGAGAAGTCACTGCACCCCACGGCTGGAGGGTCGCCCCCGCACCCCGAAACTAGAGAAAAGCCTGAACGGCAACAACCCAGCACGGCCAAAATTAAATAAAGTTACATATGTACATAAAAAGTCAATGGCGAAGGACCGGACTGTATTGACCCTTTACCATGTACTAGGTGGTGGTCAGAGTTCCATGCATATCCCCTTACTAATCACCACAATCACCTTCAAGAGGAGACTCAGACCCAGATGGGGACTTACTAGCAGAGGTGAGAAACGGGGCCCCCAATCCTGGCCAACTGGGTCCCGGGCGGCCCCTCCCACCTGCTAAGCCGTGTGGCCTCCAGAGGTGACCACTGAGTTACCAAAACAGCCACCTGTGCCCAGCTCCACAGAGCCTTGGCTGTCAGATGTGCTCTGCCTGTACTTCTGGAACTGGATGAATCGCCTCACAAATAAACACAAGTAACCCCTGATGTTCTCAGACAATAAAAAAGAACTCATTGCTATTCTTGGCAAAAACCACATTGCAGTGGAAAGACGTGTCCAGTCCCAGGCTCCTCGGCATCTGGAGTCTCGGCAGTGATTCAGAGTCACCCGTTCTGCAATGTTTCTGTCCTCCTCCATAGCAGCCTCTCCTGGCAACGCAGGGGCCCCCGGGGGCCCGACACCTCTGTGACACCCATAATCCCACGTGGCACATCCTCTCCCAGGAAGAAAGGCGTGCGCTGGTCAGGGATGCTTAACATGTATTTACAGCGTCACCAGGAAAAGATAAAAATAGAAAGGTGGCTTCCAGGCTAGAGAAAAGGACAAAGCAAAAAGTATCTTCCTTCTTCCTTCAGCCTCATGTGTGCAAAATCAGGACTGTGGTTTCACCGTCTTGCATCATTACTACGGTGTTGAGGAGGTCCTCTCTGCCGAAAGGCAGAGATCACACTGCACACCCGATTGCCGGGAGCCACCGAAGGAAGCAAAGACCACAGACAACACATGAGGCAGCCCGGCCCCTCTGCTCACACCGCAGACAGTCACGTCCACAGCCAGCCGGCACCCTGCCCGCCCCTGGGTGCCTTCTGCAGCCCCATCACCCACCTGAAGCACCAGGATGGCTCAGGAGCGAGACTCGGATGTTCTTCACCAACAGTTTGAGCTCATGAGCCCTTGGAGGTTTGGGAGGGCAGGATTCCTGAGTGGATGAAGTGCGCTGCAGATGCTGCAGAAGGGAAAACGGAGAGCTGTGACTCCTGGGGCGGAGGCAGTGGCCACCGGGCACCTGTTCCGGGGAAGGGATCTTCGAGCAGACCTGTAGAGGGAGCCTGGCACTCACGCCAGCTCTGGAGCAATGTTCCCTTCTCAGGAGGGTGGAGGGTGCCCGTCATTCACAGCCGCTTCCCGCAGAAAGCAAGTGGAGGAGCAAGGTGTTCACCCAGAGAGGGCGCCCCAGAGCCCCACCGTGGGTGGAGAGGGGGTCAAACCCAAGCCAGTGCAGGAGCTGAAGGCAGAGTGGGACGCGACCCCTGGCTGCAGGCGCCGCTGCTCACCGGCAGCAGCGAGCGGGGCACCGGCCAGGGCACCAAGGGCTGCTTCCCACCTCCGGGCAGACCCGCCATCCACGTGGGGGAGGCCTAAGTGTCGTCCGGGTGCCACGCTGCGGACACAGGAGAGGCAGGTGCCCCTGGGGCAGCTCTGTCACCTCTTCCTCAAATCAGCATCCAGGCATTTCCAATGGAGGGCCTCCCCAAGTTCGGGGGACCCCACCTTCAGACCAGCCTTTCCAAGCTAACTTCCGCCTCCCACTCACAGCTCTGAGTGTTCTTTAAGAGGGGCTCTTTAGACACAAATGTTTGGGAGTCCTGAGAGGCTTCTCATGGACATCACGGGCCTCTGCACAACAAGGTCTTCCATGAGAGATCCTTAAAGCTGACTTGACCTCACCGTGCTCTCCAGGGGGATACTTAACTAACATCTCAAGGACTGTAGTCTCCTTTAGGTCACTGCCTAGAAAACACTATTGCCAACTGTGAGCTGAAGGGGCTGGGTGGCCAAGAAGTCATCACAGAATCCTTAAGATCCAGGCCCCTGAGCACTGGAGATAGAGTAACCCACATGTCTGGGGTGGAGATGCAGTGTTTTCTCAATTCTGTGTGTGTGATGGCTAGTTTTATGTGTCAACCTGACTGGAACGTGGGGTGCCCAGGCTTGTAGCCCACGACTAAGCAAATAAGCACGCATAACACATTATGCAATTATATGTATATAATTGGCTCACACAATTACAGAGACTCTCATGTACATAAATATATGCACACACACATCCCTTAGTTCTGTTTCTCTACAGAACCCTAATATAGTATGCATGCTATTTTGATGTATAAACTCTGCAAATTTATTTAAAAGCATTATAGAATGCATTACAGAAGCAGGCAAGAGTACTGGAGTGGGTTGCCCTTCCCTTCTCCAGAGGATCTTCCTGATCCAGGGATCAAACCCGGGTCTCCCGCATCGCGGGCCGATTCTTCACCCTCTGAGCCACTGGGGAATCATGTACAGTCACACTGCAAACAGGCAGCTTTGATGAACTGGGAAACCGGCGCAAACACCCAGAAAGTCCTCACTCTGCCTGTCTGCTTACTCAGTGGCTCCTTCTGCTTCGTCAGGAGCTGAAGCCGCCTTCCTATGTTCTGATAACCCTCAGGGCCCAGAGGGAACGACACAACACTGGACACTGGTATGTGTCCAGTGAATCAGAGAGATTTTGTCTCCAGACTCTACACACTCACAGCTGATGATGCCCTAAGAGGAACCAGAGCCCAAGAGCCTGGATCAAAGTCAAATTAAGGTTATATTATCATACTGTCTTTTTATATATATATATATATATATATACAAATATATATATATTTATTTATATATATATACAGTTCATGGGGTTCTCACAGCAAGAATACTGCAGTGGCTTGCCATTCCCTCCTCCTTCAGCATTCCCTCCTTCAGCATTCCCTCCTGATGCTGAAGTTGACGCTCCAATACTCTGGCCACCTGATGTGAAGAGCTAACTAATTGGAAGACCCTGATGCTGGGAACGACTGAAGGCAGGAGGACAAGGGGATGACAGAGGATGAGATGTTTGGAACACTGATTCAATGGAGATGAACTTGGGCAAACTCCAGGAGATGGTGAGGGACAGGGAAGCCTGGCGTGCTGCAGTCCATGGGGTCGAAAAGAGTCGGACAGAACAACTTTGTCACACCATATGATAATAGTGGCTATTCTACCATGTCACATAAAAATACTGGAAACACATATGAAAGACCACTTTAGGGACTGTACATGCCTGTTTTGCATAACCATCATAAGAAGATCTGCTCATAATTGGGAGAATTAATTCATCCCAAGCAAAGGTTTTTAGATGTGCTGCCAATAAAGATGTGAGAGGACAAGCCCAGAGACTGGCCTGGATAAATGTCGTGGATGTAAATTTAGCCAGAGAGTTATGAGGACCTAATGAGGCAGTGGTGAGGGTCCCAGAACGGGGGGGGAGGGCAGGCAGCATAGGAAGGGACCCACAGAGAGGAGACAGCCTCGTGTGTCTGCACCAAGGGAGGCAGACCTCCGAGAGGTGATGCTGTTGGAGGCAGGGCCTGGTCACCAGGCTGTCCCTGGCCTGGGCTAAAAGTCTGTGGCTACAGTGTGCGGGCTCTGTCTGTCTTAGGGTAAGTTCCCAGGTACTTCGATCCCGGAAGGATAAGGTCTCAGACAATAGGCTCTGGGTAGACAGTGAAAAGTCGCATACTAGTCCCTGAAAATGACAGTTTCTGGGACGTCCACTTAGACGTGGACCATGCTAAGTGGTCCAGACACCTCCTCCTTTCCTCCCACAGGCCCTTGGAACCCCGCGCCCTGAACACAAAGCTTCGCCCCAGACTGCAGTCATCACCCACCAGCAGTTGTGCAATCTCGCTTTGCCCTGGGGTGGGGAAGAGGGATGGCAAGTGCCACCGATTCTCCAAGAGAGGATGACCACGGCCCCTCATGCGGTGGCGAAGCGCCTGCACACGGAGAGCTGGTTTACCTGAACTCGCAGGTCTGCAGACTTGGTGCTCAGAACCACCGATGGGGAGGCAGAGCTAACCAGGTGCTTCAGGATGTCCTTGAGGCTCTCAGAGACTGCCTCCGACCCAGCTACCAGGTCCTGTCAAAAGAGGAGGTTGTCACCAGATCGTCTCCAAACCCGGCAGAGGGCAGAGGGCAGGCCAATACATGGCTCTCCTGATGCCCTCGAAGTGAAACAAACTCCATGTGGCCGGGGCTCTGGAGTGAGTGGAAACACTCACTCGTTCACATCTTTACTGACCTCAGAGGTCACTCATGCTCCTTACTCCCAAAAGTGGTTAAAAATAAGACATGCACAACACAGAAATATGTCAGCATTTCCATGTATTTTATTCCAGTCTCTTTCCCCAAATACATACACGTGTGTTTTTTCTGTCTGGACTGACATCTAATTTTTTTTTTTTAATTAAAAAGTATTCAAGGGACTTCCCTGGCGATCCAGCAGTTAGGATTCTGTGCTTCTACTGCAGAGGATATGGGTTCGATCCCTGGTTGGGGAACTAGGATCCCACATGCTGTACAAGCCCTGATCTCCCTGCTTCTGAGAAATAAACTTTTGTATTTAAAAAAAAATTTTTTTTTAATCCAAAAAGTTGAAAAGCCCAAGAATGAAAAGAAGTTTGTAGAAGAACAAAGCAGGATGACACGCACCACCAGATGTCAAGCTCTATAAGATTACAATAATTAATACCCAAAAGAAATGTGTCTATATGTTCTAGAACGTTCCCACAAACTAAAAACGGAACTACCAGAGACCAGACCCCTGCCCCCTGCATTGGAAGTTCGGAGTCTTAACCACTGGACCGCTGGGGAAGTCCCTGGAAGAATTTTTAAATACACATATTTCGGCTGTGGTGATAGCTTTGTAATAGAATAAGAGTCTGAAATAGAGTGAAATTTCAAGAAAATATCACAAAAGCCACTGCAAAGGAATAGCGTGACAAGCTCAGTCTTCGGTGTCCATGATTTTGCATGATCTTTCCAGCAACTAAGAGTGACAGCACTTACAAGACTTAGCAGCCTGCCCCACAGCCCCAGTCCCGCTTCCAAAGTCACTTCCTCAATCACCCAAGGCCCAGGGAGCAGGGGGATGACCTTCAGATTTGAGAGGCAGCTTTGAAAGAGCTGCGAGAGAAGGGAGGTGGTGGCCTGGGAGCCAGGTCTTGGACCCAGCCCGAGACGGAGGTGAGTGAAGCGCCCTCACCGGGAAGGAGAGCAACTGAGGCGCAGGTGTAACAGAAGGTCAAGGAAAACCTAGATGCTACCACCGCAGTGGCTCTCAGCCTCCACTGCACGAGAGGGGTTTTAAAAGCTTTCTGGCCCAATCAAACCCGCCTGGGGAGGCAGGGCAGTCTTTGCGAATTTTTAAAAGCCGATAGGTGATTACAGGTGCAGGCCAGGTGAGAGCCTGGCATTAAATCCATGGAAGCTAGCCACCCCCGCCCCACCATGCTGCGCTGGCTCTGCCCTGCCTGCCCATCCCCCAGGATCACACACCAGACCCCACCGATCAGAGGCTCCATCTCCCAGAGCTGGTAGTCACAACGTGCCCACATTCGCATATTCATGCTGGGGGAAATCACAAAACCTCACAAACTGACCTCCCCGAGGACTTTGGGCTGGACTGTGATGGCCATCTCTGGGGCGCTGATGAAGGACCACTTGATCTGAATGTCCTCCCTCTTCTCCTTCATGTGGAGCTCCAGCTGTTTAAAAAAAAATAAAAGATTACTGGAGGATTGCTCTCTCCACTGGAGCCTCGATGTATGTCTCTGTCTTCATTTCTTTTCTTAGACAGTGGTTTGTCCCCTGCCTTGGCATGCTGTGTGCTTTCAAAATGGCAAGGAGGGTCCCCAGTCCCTGACTGCCCCTCCCCTGTTGTGTAGCCTACCCCATCCCCAACAGTACCTTCCTCTGCCTTAACCAACCACTCAGAGAGGAACATCAGGGTCGGGGATGAACACCAGATGTCATGAAAACCCTGCAAATCCTCTGCTTTGCAGCTTTCTTCTGCGAGCATCACCAAGACATACTGGAGCCGGGACGCCTTGTCTGTTCCCACACACTCACACGGCCCCCTCCCCTCACCCTGCCCATGATCGTATACATGGGTGCATCAGCACTCTTAGCCTCTCTTGCCTGGGCCACTGCACACCTCCACATGGACTCCAATCTCTCCCAGGGCCCCATCCAGCCCTGCCTGTAAGTCATGGCAGAACCATGTACTGCCCCCTGCCACCCCCCACAAAGACAAGCATGCTCCTCGGAACCTGTGAATAGATTTCCTCACATGGCAAAAGGGACTCTGCACGTGTAATCAGGGTAAGGACAGTGAGGTGCGGAGACAATCCTGCATGATTCCAGTGAGCCCACAGAGGTTTAGGAGCCCTTAAAGATGGAAGGGGAAGACAGAAGAACATGCGGAGAGAGGAGACTTGAAGACAGAGGAGGATGCCAGAAGCCCAAGGGTAAGGTTGCCTCTAGAAGCTGGGACCTGTCCTCAGCTGACAGCCAGCCAGAAATTGGACCCTCAGTCCAACAACCATAAGGAGCTGAATTCTGCCAACAACGGGTGAGCAAGGAAAGAGATCCCCTCCAGGGCTCCCAGAAAGGAAGGCAGCCCACCAGCACCAGGATTTTAGCCCATGTTGGACATCACACCTCCAGATTGGTGATGTGATAAATGTGTGCCATTTTCAGCTAAGATGTGGTGATTTGCTTCAGCAGCCACAGCAAGCTAAGCTACCATCCCTCCTTCTTCAGCAGGAGACTCCTTCTAAAGCCAAAGTCTTGACCCTTCCCATCTCTATGCTTCCTCCCACCACCCAGGGAAAGGGAAGGAAAGGATGGCTATAGAATTGTTTTCTCAATACTGGGTCCTCCCACTCATGCTAGCAACCAGGTAAGACAAAGGATGCTCCTGTTGCCCTGTAATTCTGGGCGACTCTAGCAAAAGCGTGCTTTAATTTCATTGCCACAGTCCCTGAGCTGTTCCACCAGGTTGGGGAGAGGGGGTAGCTGCTGGCCTCTATGCAGTTTTTATCTGAAGAACAACAGAGGGAATGCCTCCTGCCATAAGCATTAATAATTCACCAACCTCTAGCAGCTGCTTCTGCTTTGAGAGGTAACCCACCTTTAAACTGTGTTAAGAGATCAAAGACACAATTGAATTATCTGTGTCTGAGCTGTGTGAAATGGCACATCAACAGCATCTTGGAAAACATGTTTCTTGGGTGAATGTTTGTGGTCCTTGCTGAACTCACCCCATCCTGAACACACCCCAGACTTTAACATTATCTTCTAACCACACTGTCCAAAAAAACTAGGGGAAGCAGGAGGGCTTTAACATCTGACAAGTCCATAAGCTCAACTTAACTTCCCTGACTCTTGAAAACGGATAGGGGTAGGGGATGGATTTCAGAAAAAAAGCCATTTAGGTAGCCGGAAATTTTTGTTTGTCCTGGTTGTTTACGACCACGTCTTTTAAGAAAACCCAATGGAATAATCTCTCCTTGTGGTTGAGACTCTTGAAAGATTTGGGCTCACCCCCCAAATTAGCAGCCAAGTACAAGTTGAATTGGCAGTTACCCCTAAACAGACCCAGAAATTCACAATTTCTACATGTCAGCTAAACAAGAGCATCAGTGAACTTCTGCTCTGCGTGTGATATACACAGTTTTCTGATGGGTTAGTCACCCAGAAGCTTCACTAAGTCTATTATAATTATTATCTCTATTTATAATTGTTCAATGTATAAAAATATATCAGTTATAAAAGTTACATACTATGTGCCTATTACAATCATTATAACAATGTCTATTATCCAAAAATAATGGTGATACTCATTTTCTAACATAATAATAATGAGCCTTTTAAAGTTGATTTTTTTCAAACACTAAAAGGAAGATGCTAAGTCCAGACCTTGAGCTGTTTTTCCAAGCTGCAGGGGACTTTCGAAGGCCAGCACCTGATTCCAAATTATTAACAGAATCACCTTCCTCATCTCAGATGCCATCATCCTCAATCCAACAGTCAACAACATCTGGGACATGTGCCTTGAAAACTACCATATCTCTCACATTTGTTAGATGGAAACTCTGAATTCATTATATATATGTATACATGCGTGTGTATATATGGTGGTTTTGGCGGTTTAGTCACTAAGCCATGTCCGACTCTTAGAACCCCATGGACTGTGGCCCACCAGGCTCCTCTGTCCATGGGATTCTCCAGGCAAAAATACTGAAGTGGGTTGCCATTTCCTTCTCCAGATGTGTGTATATGTGTGTGTGTGTGTGTATGCCTGTGTATACACCTAAGTGTATATATACCTATGTGTGTATATATATGTGTGTGTGCATATACCTGTGTGTGTATCCATGTGCGTATATGTGTGTATATATACCTATGTGTGTATATACATGTGTGTATTTATTTATTTATTTGCAGTGGTTAGCCTTTCCCCTTCTCCAGGGGAACTTCCCCACCCAGGGATCACACCCAGATCCCCCGCATTGCAGGTGGATTCTTAACCAGCTGAGCCACAAGGGAAGGCCAAGAATACTGGAGTGGGCAGCTTATCCCTTCTCCAGTGGATCTTCCTGACCCAGGAATCGAACCAGGGTCTCCTGCATTGCAGGCAGACTCTTTACCAACTGAGCTATCAGGGAAACCCATGTGTATTTAGACATAAACCTATGACATGCACACTTTTGTATTTCCCACAAAGACAATATAATATGAAGGTCTGAAACTAATGAAATGAACAGTAATTAATAAAAACAGGAGCATTCACGTCTGTGACAGCGCCCCACTCACCCTACAGATTTACGAAGCGGTTTTCCTAGGACAGACTGTCTCCCAATTTTACCTGCAGACGGAGCGGAGCGAGCCGCACGCCATACAGCGAGCGCCCCGTGTCCTCAGAGGAGGGCGGCCCCGCGCTGACCAGGAACTGGATGGCCTCGCCCAGCACTCGACAAAACACCACCTGGAGGAGGAAGCAGAGAACACGCGAACTTTACGCCAGAGAGAGGAGAGCACGCGCCTTGCCCGTCTTCATTTCACTGAAGAAAACAGCCTGGACTCTCTAGATCAGCAAGCATGAGAACTCAGTCTCAAATGTGGGTGACTATCTAGATGCATATTTTCTATCACCCCAGAGCTTAAAAACTAGGAACAATACTTCAAATCTTTTCTTTCTGATGTATTCTCAGGACTTGCCCAAATCTAGTTAGAATCTTTCCACACAATTTTTTTTTCCTTTAAATATTTCTTTTTTCTATTTCTTCATGCAGCTGATTTTTAAATTTCCTGGGCAATTTATTCATATGGTGTGAAAGCCATTACCCATCATCTCTCACTAAAAAAATGAGCCTTAAAAAGAAAATTAGTTCTGGATGTTTCCAGGTAAAAATTCTTTTAAAGTACCTAGAACACAAGAAATTGTTTCTATTTAAATATATTGTAACCTATTGTGGTTTACAAAGATGTGGGGATAATTGAAAGAACTGTGAAATATTGAACGGTTACAAAATGATATAGTCTTAACAAAAATAGAGTTATTAAAATAAGCTCATTTAAAAACCTATGAGACAAAGCAATTACATCAGGAACAAACCAGACCATATTCCTGACATAAATCACAAAGCATTTTAGAGAGAGGGCAGTGAATGCTGTCACTGCACAGGGAAGCATTCAGTCCCTGCCAGCGAATCCCCTACAGGAGCAGACCTTCCAGAATGAGGGACCAGCCACACTCCTGGCAGGACGCCAAGCAAGCCAGGGCGGGCAGACCATGAGGCCAGGTGTGCCTGGCAGAGGGGTGGTGGGGAGGATGAGGGGTGTCTGGCAGGGGGCCAGCGTGTCTGGCCAAAGTCAAGGCATCAGAGGCTGAGGGGAAGGCAAGATGGACCCCCACATTCCCAAGGGAACAGCTGACCCCCACACTGGATGGTGTCACTTGGGAAGGAAGGAAAAATTCTTTAACTCTCTGGTGGATTTGGAACCTAAAATACCAAGTAGAAAGATTAACAAAACAGTTATTTTGTCAGGGCAACTGCTATTTCACAAAGTTCAGGCTGAAAACATGTCTCCCTCCCCACCCCTGACCCCCGGCTCCCTGGCCCCCTCACAGGCATAGCCCCACTCGGGGCCCACCTGCCCCTCCAAAAATGACCTGACCTGTACTACACAGAGAGCCCCCAGAAAGGGTCCCTTTCCAGGGTCCACTATAAAAGCTTTTGGCAGCATAGCATTAGAAAAAGAGAACCTTGCCTTTTCTAAATACTGGCAGAAAATTGCACAACCCTTATTTTCATCCGTTGTTGTAAAGGCCCTCTCTGAGGATTGACTTATGCGGATTAGTTACATATCTTCATCATGTTATTGCATCTCCAGAGTTCATCAAAGGTTGGAACAAAAAAATGTTTGTATAAGAAATGTCGCCTATTCGCATTAAAAATACATGCTCTGTAAACAGTCCTTGGAGGAGGAATGTATTTTGATACCGAATGAGTTACACACACAACATGATAGACAGAAAATTCTGTCCTTTGTCTCAAGAGCTGAGGTCATTTTACTCCTTAAAGTAAAAAAAAACAAAACAAAACAGTCAGTGATTGGTTGACTTCTGTTATTTCTATGGAACTTTCTATATGAAGCTAATTAGAACGTCACTGGGAACCTTGACAGATTCATTAGCGCCCTGACTCAAGGAAGAGTTTGGCTTCTGTTTGTATTCAGTTCTACAAAAAGCTGGACCCCTCTGCGGATCCAGTGGTTAAGAATCCATGGGGGCAGGCTAGATGGGAGGTGAGTTTGGGGGAGAATGGGAGAGTTTGGGTGAGTTTGGCTGAGTCCCTTCGCCATTCACTTGAAACTATCACAATATTGTTTGTTAACTGACTATACACCAACACAAAGTTAAAAGTAGCTATAAGAAAAGAATAGACTCTGCTTGCCAATGCAAGGGGCACGGGTTCCACCCTTGGTCAGGGAAGATTCCAGATGCCTCAGGGCAACGAAACTCATGTGCCTCAGCCACGGAGCCCCTGCTCTTCAACAAGAGGAGCCACTGCTATGAGAGGCTGGAAACCACAGCTGGAGAAAGCCTGCCTGCAGCACTGCAGTCAAAAATAAATCCATTAATTAACTTTTAAAAAGAATGAAAAAAAATTTTTTTTTTAAAGTTACCCCACTGCTTCCTTTCTGATACACGGACAGCTGAAGCACCTGGTTAAAAGCAATTAAACCAACACTCCAGCATAGATTTCAAGACTTTAAAACTTCTAGAATGCAAGTCTCAGAGGTCACGATTACCATTCACGTCACATCTGGAAACTAGGTGCAACCATTAAAAAACAGGCCACCTTTTGCAGAGATCCCTGGAAGGTCTTCCTGGCCCTGTACCAATGCCCTCAGTAACACCTGTCATATGGACCAACCGTTTCTTAGCCTCTCTTCAGTGTTCAGCTGAAAAACCTAATTAAAACAACTATCTGATCATATTCAAGATGGGCAACAAAATGCCCCCCACCATTCTTACGGGGCCAGTTGGGAGGGATAATGGCCAGGGCTAGCCTCCGCTCCTCCACCCTGAGAGTAAAAGTCCCATTTGTCAAATGGACCAGAACAAAATGGAAAAGAGATTTTAAATTTAAGTAATCTTCTTTCAGGGCATTATGGTTTTTATACACAATGGGGATTAAATGATCTCAACCCAGGCAAATGGTGGCCAGGCTGGCCCTGTAACCAAGGGGGCCCCTCTTGGAATGGCAGAAAGCAGGATCACCCGATGCAAGGTCAAGCAGACCCTTCCAACCAGGGCCAGAGTGACCAGGGTTGATGTCTATTTAAATATGGACAAACAGGTAGAGACCCTGATCTTGATCCTATAGTCTCCCTACCCCAAACACAGACCTGTTCATGAGGCTTCCTTCTGAAGTTTATACATGAGGTCCTCAGAGCATCCCAATTACACTGAGCTGTTTAATATGGCTTGGGCTTCCCAGGTGCATGTGTGCTAAGCCACTTTACTCATGTCCGATTCTCTGTTGTTTAGTTGCTCAGTTGTGTCCAACTCTTTTGTGACCCTATGGACTGCAGCCTGCCAGGCTCCTCTGTCCATGGGATTCTCTAGGCAAGAATACTGGAGTGGGTTGCCATGCCTTCCTCCAAGAGATCTTCCCGACCCAGGGATTGAACCCAACTGGCTCAGTGGTAAAGAATCTGCCTGCCAATGCAGGAGATGCAGGAAACACAGGTTCGATCTCTGGGACCATAAAGAAGGCCGGAGGATGAAGAACTGATGCTTTCAAATTGTGGTGCTGGAGAAGACTCTTGAGAGTCCCTTGGACTGCATGGAGATCAAATCAGTCAATCCTAAAGGAAATCAAGCCTGAATATTCATTGGAAGGACTGATGCTAAAGCTGAAGCTCCAATACTTTGGCCTGATGTGAAGAGCCAACCCATTGATTGGAAAAGACCTTGATGCTGGGAAATATTGAAGGCAAAAGGAGGAGAGGGCAGGAGAGGATGAGATGGTTGGATAGCATCATTGACTCAATGGATATGAGGCTCCCAGCAAACTCTGGGAGATGGTGGAGGACAGAGAAGCCTGACATACTGCAGTCCATGGGGTCTCAAAGAGTCAGACACAACTGAGGGACTGAACAACAATTGCCCCAGCTCCTCCTTCTCTGAGAACATTCTAGAGAACTGGAAATAATTTCATTACTTTTGTCTTCAAAAGAGCTAGGAACACAGCTGATAAAAGGGACCTAAAAGGTTTATGTCACTGAATAGCTTTCACTTTAATCAGACTACATGACATCATGGAGAAAGAAATTCAAAATAAAACAGAAGAAATGACCTTTCACTAATCATTCAGAACTCTCGGCCAGGTTTCTGCCCCAACTCTGCACCCAGTCTTGGTCATATAAATATTCTTTAAGATGGCACGCGTGTGTGTGTGCGCTCAGTCAATAAGTTGTGTCCGACTCCTTTGTGATCCTATGGACTGCAGGATGGGATTCTTCAGGCAAGAACACTGGAGTGGGTTGCCATGCCCTCCTCCAGGGGCTCTTCCCAACCCAGGGGTCGAACGATCATCTCCTGTGTGTCCTGCACCGCAAGCAGATTCTTTACCACTGAGCCACTGAGATGGCATGAGTCTGATATAAAATATTACTTCTACTCTGGAATAGAAACTCATTTTAAAAAGTAAAGTGTCATTGGCTTAAAATTCTCAAAACATCTATAAAGCTAACCCTATTGCCTGCTTGTTCACAACACATGGCTGAAGATATATTTTCATCTGCTATCTCCCAGTGGGCTAGGGGCTTCCCCTTGTGGCTCAGCTGGTAAAGAATCCACCTGCAATGCAGGAGACGCACGTTTGATCCCTGGGTTGAGAAGATCCCCTGGAGAAGGGAACGGCTACCCACTCCAGTATTCTGGCCTGGAGAATGTCCAGGACTGTATGGTCCATGGGGTTGCAAAGAGTTGGACACAACTAAGAAACTTTCACTTCACTTCACTTTCCAGTGGACTGAGGTGAAAAATGCAGGAAACAAGATGGCAGCCAGCCCCAAGGGATGCTGGGTAGGTGCTCTATTTCATCCCCTTGAGGGGTGTGCCTTGGACCACACAGGCTCTGACATCCCACCCCCACCCATACTCTCCGTCCCTTCTCCTGTTTGGATTCTTTAAAATGAACAATGAGGCTTTGAAACTGTGGTGCTGGAGAAGGCTCTTGAGAGTCCCTTGGATGGCAAGGAGATCAAACCAGTCAATCCTAAAGGAAGTCAACACTGAATATTCATTGGAAGGACTGATGCTGAAGCTCCAATACTCAGGCCACCTGATGCAAACAGTCGACTCATTGGAAAAGCCCCCGATGCTGGGAAAGATTGAGGGCAAGAAGAGAAGACGGTGACAGAGGATGAGATGGTTGGATGGCATCATCGAGTCAATGGACATGAGTTTGC